CATTTGAAATGAAAAGAAAAAGGAAGTATTCTTAAGTTTAAATAACAATTAATTGAGAGGCTCTTTTGGTTCTTCAGTATTTTTTTGTTGATTATCATGATTAGATGATTCTTCTTCATCTTGTGGACCTTTTTTACTGAATTTCTTTTTATATAAATCAATTAACAATGAGACAATAAGTGCAAGAACACCAATAGCCAAGATTATTGCCACGGAACAACAAAAGAAGATAGTAGTAGTTTTTACATAATGTGCTCCTTGATAAGTTTCTTCCCAGTCTTCTTTAGCAAAACAAGAAACTATCAAAAATATAAAGATAAAAGTGTTCATTACAAGTCGATTCTTTTTAAGAAAGAAGAACTAAGAAATTAAATAAAGAAGTATAAAAAGAAAGATTTTGGAAATTAAATATAAATAAAAATATATTTATTCTATTTTATATATGAAGAATCTATTAGAAGCAAAAATGTAATTTTGTAGAATATGGAAGAAGGAGATGAAGTTGCAAACCAATTTAAACCCTCATTTTATTCTTTCTTTTTCAATTACCTAACAGTATGAGTGAAGTTCCTGATGATAAAAATGCTGCAGTTGGGTATATTTGTGCTGTTATTAGTGTAGTTTGTTTTGGAAGTAATTTTACACCTGTTAAAAAATTTCCAACAGGTGATGGATTCTTTTATCAATGGGTAATGGCAATTGGAGTACTTCTTTCTGGAATTTTTACATTATTAATAGTAAACTCAACAAAAGATTCTCCATTTGTATATTTTGAGCCATTTGCAATGATTGGTGGATTTATATGGTCCGTTGGTAATGTTTTCTCTGTACCTGCAATACAAATGCTTGGACTTTCAATGGGTCAAGGCATTTGGGGAATTTGTAATATGATTACTGGTTGGGTTACTGGTACATTTGGATGGTTTGGTATTCATGCTGATAAAAGTACAATAAAAACATTTTGGTTAAATTGTGTTGGTGCGGCTATAGCAGTATGTGCTGTTCCTTTCTTTATTTTTATTAAAACATCAACTAAAGAAGAACGACAAGCATCTGAAAAGTTAAAGAAAGAAAAAGATTTAAAAGAAGATAGAAGTGACATTGAATTAAAAGATGAAAATAATGAACATAGTTGTGTAGAGAATGAACAAAGTGAGGAAGGTCTTGAAGAAAAACATAGATCCAGTAATCAAAAAGATATGAATGAAGTAATTGACACTATTAATAATACTTCAAATACTGATCTCCATCAAATTGTTGAAGTTGACGAACCTGTTTCAACACCCATTGAACGAATATCTCCATTATCAAGATTCTATAATTCATTACCATTTGTTCCAAAGAAAATATTAGGTATATGTTGTACAGTCATTGTTGGTGTTTCATATGGGGCTTTTTTCCTTCCACCAAAGTATTTACAAGATAATTCATTAGGCTCACCAAATGGAATTGATTATGTACTACCATTCTTTCTTGGACTATTCCTTACTGCAACTGCTTTTTTTGGTGCATACACTTTTGCATTTAGAAACAATCCTTTTGTTTACCCTCAAACGATTGTACCTGCATTATTGAGTGGTATTATTACTGGAATAGGAACAGTTACATGGTTTATTGCTGCAAATAACATCCCATATTCAGCTAGTTTCCCTATTATTACATCAGGGCCAATATTATTATCTTCTGTATGGGGAATAGTTGTTTTTGGTGAGATTCGTGGATGGAAGAATTTTTTGTTATTTGGCTGTGGCACAGTAACTTTAATAGCTGGTATTGTCTGTATTGTTGTTTCAAGTTAATTAAATAAAGGTTATAAGTTGTTAAATGGTGTTTTATTTTCAATTTTATTCTTTAAAGCAAAGAAAGAATAATTGCTAAATAAATTTCTTTATTTTACTTTGATAATATTACTATTTTTTGTATATTTTAATGATTATATACACGTTTTTATACATTTGAACCTTTAAATATAAAGTAATGAATTAAATATTGATAGAATGGTTTCTATTGTTCTTGAATTAGATGAGACTCATTAAATCTATGACTCTTTTTCTGTAACTCATACAGAGTATGTTTGACCGTGATATAGTCAATGTTTCATATCATCCATCGTGTTTCAGTTGACATGGTTTTTACTTCTTTTTTCAATGTTAATTTTAATTTCTTTAATTCATCTAATACTCTTTAGATCTTTCCAATGCAGGAAATACAACAAATTTT